AGAAAGAAAGAAAGAAAGAAAGAAAGAAAGAAAGAAAGAAAGAAAGAAAGAAAGAAAGAAAGAATATGCTGGGATGAGCAGATTCCAGAGAGGAACGAAATAGCAAAATCATGTTTTTTAGAACTTAAATGCTAAAGTCAGGTCATCCGTCCTACATCTTTTTTTTTCAAGAGCAGCACCTATTTTCTTATGTTAAAAAATAAATAGTAATTGGTATAACACCACCAAAAACAGCTGACTTTTTGGTCTCTATAGCTAAAAATGAATGTGCAGATAAATCAGAATTGAAAATGTTACTGCACAAAATGTAACTATCTATACATCTAAATCTATAAAAGAAGCTGTATTGTTATTACTATGTATCTGAAAAGTCAATATTTCACATATCCACTCCTGAAATACCTAGATCTAATGTAGAATTAGAAGAATTAGAAGAACTTTATTGTCATTGTACAAGTAAAACGAAACTGTAGATGCACCCCAACAACTGTTCGCAATACAACAAAACCAAAGCACTTAAAAATGAAGATAAGAAAAACAGAGTACCCATGTCTCCATTTGCAATTTGAGAGTATGATATCTACAAATATACACAAAATATACATCCAACACTGACTGTAATGCTTAGCCGAGTATAATACACAAGAGATGGATTATGTTATTATACATCTGAATGGGGTATTGAGATTTCACATCTTAGTAAGATAGTGACTTCGTGTTTATTTGTGGTTCAGATGGCCCAGGGAAAGAAACTATTTGTTAGACTAGTGGTGTGGGATTTTATTGACCTAAAACGCCATCCAGACATCAGCAGGTCAAAAAGATAAATGACAGGGTGTGAGGGGTCTTCTATGATGGCCTTGATTCTGCTTTGGCAGTGGGACCTGTAGGTATTCTTATGAATCAGAATAATTCTGTGCAATTGCCTTTTACTTTATGTTAGATTGGTGATATATTTTACTAGTCATCTAGCAACTTAATTACTATATTTTTGAGCAAAAATGCATAAGACCGGCAAAAAAATGTAGATATACCTTAGATTTTCTTGCTACTTTCTTTGTGCTTGCTTTCTTTGTTGTGGTTTTCTTCTGTGATGGTGACTTTGCTTTTTTAGCTGGGGGTGGAGTGATGATTGCTTCCAATTTTCCTTTTGAACCCCGCTTTTTGGCCAACAACTCTGGGTGAATATTTGGTAATACACCACCGCTGGCTATGGTGACACCTTTCAACAGCTTAAAAGGAAGTAGAGCAAAAAGATATCTCTGAGGGGTTTTAAAACTTGAAGAAACTAAAACTTTGATTCTGAAGAAAAGGATAATGAAATACCCAAATTATGAGTTGGGTCCATACTGAGTGATGGAACTCTATGACAACTTCAGAGTTAACCACTGCTAATATATTTTCTAAAGATATAATTCAACTGAAGCAATATTGACTTATTTAACAGATTATGAATTACATTTTTAGACAGAATAAGCAGGAATTTAAAAAAGAAAGAAAAATAAACCCCTAAAACCATAGAATATATTTTCACCTGATTTAATTCTTCATCATTTGCTACAGCCAGCAAGATATGTCTAGGGGTGACACGGCCTTTCTTGTTATCTCGTGCTGCATTTCCAGCCAATTCAAGAATTTCCGCTGCCAAGAAAGATAAAATTGATTCTTCTTTCTTATTTTCAAAATAGAACACATAACCTTATCCAGGAATTTAAAAAATGCAATCCTAAAATCAGTAAAAGCACTATAAGTGTTAAAACAATATTAAGGATAAATAAATGGGGCAAGAATTAATTGCACATAATCTGGTAACATTTTATTTCAGCATAGAGATGGAGGACAAGATCTATATGACATCAGAGGTATTCGTCTGTGCTAGTTTTCTCCAAAGACGTTCTCCAAAAAAAATACTTTCATGAAGAATTTAAAATACATTTAGCACATCTGACAGTCTTGAACAAGAGTCTTCAAACTTGGCAAGTTTAAGACTTGTGAACTTCAACTCATAGAATTTCTGAGCTAACATGACTGGAGGAGGAATTCTGGAAGCTGAAGTCCACAAGTCTTAAAGCTATCAAGTTTGAAGACCTCTAGTCTTGAACATCAACCAGATTTTTAAGGGTTTTGCTAATAATAACTTGATCTGGAAAAAGTTAACAACTGTGCACAGGAATGATACATAACATATGTAAGGGAAGAGCAAGAATTAGCTGTCCAGCTAAGTAAACAGTGGAAATACCTAAATATTCTATGTTTCGTGGCAATGTACACTAAAAAAACAACTGCAGGTAAAGGAAGCAAGAAGATTTAAATGGGAAGAGTCACACAGATGATTATAAAGAAAGTGAATAGATAAAGGATGCAAAATCAGCAAGTAGAATATTCAATGGATATAGATGATTTAATAAACAAAGTATGCATACTGTATACATAAACATGTTTAGTTATTGGTATATTTAAAAGCAATAATAGATTTTGTTTAAACAACTTCAAGTAAGCACCTTATTCTACAGAAATTCTGTTAATTATTTTAATGGCTCATTTTAATGTTGCTTTTAATTATATCAGCTTTCTGGTATCTTAAACTTGTTTTCATTGTCAGCTGCTTCAGCGCTGGAATATATGAAAATCCAGGTATAAGTTCAGTAATAAATGAATATGAAATACATTTAACAATGTCAGAGCATGTACACAACTATCAGATGATTTTTGGATTTTTTTTACAAATAATCTGATCATTAAAGTTTATTGGGAAATATGTGACTACTTTTAGACAAGCTGTGGATTATATTTAATTATTAACAAAATAATTTTTCAATGTTTTTTTTAAAAAAAGGGCAACAATGAACACTATTAAAAACTTGATGGACACAGTCAAAATGATGACAGTCTTACTAATTTTATCTTGCACTTAATTCACATACCACTGTACTTGTTGTCAATATCTATTAAGATGAATTGCACTGCTCAGTTTGGGGATAGGATTCTCTTCCATAACTATATTAATAATTACATGCTAGTGACCAATTCCATTCATTGCCTTTATCAGAGTCTAAAAATAGATTTTCACTTAACAGCTGATATAAACATACAACAAGTCATATCTTACACTCTATAAGTATTCTCTGAAATGCTACAGGAATTATTTTTTGTCCTTCACCCATCTCTTCAGATTTTCTATGGTTACCTCTGTAAAAAGGACCCCCTGTCCCAAATAATCATTTTGAGATCATTTTGAGCTATCTCAATCTCTTGTCAGATACAAGATGCAGACATGCTTAGAGAGTTTAAATTGGAGATATAGCAAACAGAATATAAGTACAGAAGAAGAACACATGCATTTCATTCTCATAGTCCTTGAGTGACACAATATAATAACAGTACATTTTTCCATCTAGTTTGGGGAATTTTACAGAGAGGAACTTTTTTTTTCAATACAAGAAGTGACCAATACATCATATTTTACAAAAAGCAAACCAAACTACTTAAAAACCTGAACCCCCAAGCCAGCAACTTCTTCAAGATAGGAAACAGACACACAGAACTTTTCCAGCTTGTAGCAAACAAGAAACTTCACATATAACTTACACCTGCAACTGTTTGACTGGTTCTCATGAAACCTTCTGGTTTTTATACCAGATTTCCATTAATATAGTTTGACACAGGGCTAGCCCAATTTGAAAGTATGTACAGTATTAAATATCAGAGCAGGGAAAGCCTACGAGATTTAAAATTCCAAGGTTTAATAGGGGGATATTGGATCACAGGAAAAAAGATATACTGTACACTTACAAAACACTGTTCTGCAACACATGCCTAAGAATTTTTCAACAACATGCCTAACAGTTGCTGGGAATTATGATTTCCCTATAAGTTCTTTTTCCTTGCCCAATTCTGAGGAGTTAGAGCTGGGGGCATTTTATCTTGTTTGGGGCTCTTGAAGGGAATGCAATTAATCAGATCAAATTTGAAGAAAGTCAGTAACAACAGCATTACAATAGTAAGTTCAGTCAAATGCTCGTATCCAGGGAGACACAAAAATCCAAAACCATAGTCATGGTCAGTTCTCAAATAATCAGGGTTAAGCACAAACTTGAGATCCAAGCTACTAGCAACATACCAGGGGGAAGGCAAGGCTACCAGCAAATGTTTGAAATGTAGGTATTTCCCAATTTTACTTAAAACTTGACTGGGGAGCTTCCTACTCAGGATTTATTTATTTAGTATATGGCACATACATGGACTTATAGTGGTTCAAATGTTAATGTCCAGTCCACCCAGCCATTCAAGGACAGGGTGGTCTGTGTTGAAAAAAATCAGACATTGGAACAGTGTAAGCTCTTGATGGACATTTGGACACAATGGGATGGATATTTTGTCGAGGAGCACCACAGTCACACTGAGGGGTAGAGACAAGACCCCACTTAAACAATGAGTCCTGGCAGACACCAGAGATGGTATTCAGCAGGTTCTGACCAGTTCTGGAGAACCGGTAGCGGGAATTTTGAGTAGTTCAGAGAACCGGCAAAAACCACCACCTCTGACTGGCCCTTCCTCATCTATTCTCTGCTTCCCGAGTCGCAGATGATCAGCTGGGTTTTCTTTTGTTGCCCTGCACAGGAGAACGGAGTTGGAAAGCAGGTTAGTGGGGTGGGGAGGTAATGGGAATTTTGTAGTAATCCTTCCCCTGGAGTGGGATGGGAATGGAGATTTTAAGTATCCTTCCTCTGCCACGCCCACCAAGCCAAACTATGCCCACCAAGCCACACTCACAAAACTGGTAGTAAAAAAAATTTGAAACCCACCACTGGCAGACACCATGCTGGGTACGGATCCTGTTCAGAGCTGACCAATGCTGGTGAGGAAGGTCAAAATCTGGCACCTTTGGTGTAGGGTCATCTATGTAACTGCTGGCATCTGGGCGTTCAGCAGCCCATTTGGCTTCCCACTCAGGAATCAGATAACAATGTCACAATTCTATGGATTCCATTTTAAAAGGGTTAAAGTTTGTTAAGAATTCCATGCCTCCTCTTTTAGATGCTAACCTGTTTTGTTTGGTATGTCAGAGTTTTATTTATTGTTTTAAAAATTAAATAGAAAGTACAAAGTGAACATAATCATAATTTGGAAAATTCTGAATTTTCTAAGAAGAGTAGTACTTTTCACAATAACCATGTTCTTATTATTTCCTATGGTCTCAGTCAGCTGGGGGAAATAGGCATTTTCTAACAACTTTGGTTACAAACCCCATAAATCTGTGATCCTTGTGAACATTTTCACATACACAATAGATTTCTAACTAGCTTCATGATATATGGCATTAGCCAAGGTCAGAGCTCTGAACAAACTCCATTCATTCTTTTTCGTAATGGTGTTCCAAATACTGTAGAACTCCCATGATGTTTTAAAGCAGAGTCCTACATATAAAAACATCAGTACTGAAATGGAAGTAACTGATCAAACTCAAAATTTAATGTATATTATGGAAATTTATATGGAATGATTCTGCAATTTCATACATTTGAAATTTAAATGTAGGTTAAATGTCAGCTCTCAAATCAAATCTGTTGTTCATTATAGAACACAAGTTAAATGCTAAATTTGCATGATGGTTTCTTTTCTCAATACTTAGTTCAAGCAAAAAGTCCTTGGTAATTGCCAGGTGTTCAGGACCTGGACTTTTGCTATGCAAATGTGAATATACCTGACAGCTAGGAATTCTGACTTCATCCAAAGCCTGATTAGATTTTGTTTCCTCTTCTGGGTAGATATTTTGTCTTGAGGAAAACCATTTCTCTGATTTCAAAAACATTTGCCTTTCTTTACTTCACTGCAATGAAGTCATCATGTAGAAAATTCAGTTTCTAACAGCTAACAGATGACATACTAAGCAATTGCCAGCATTTCCAACACCCCCAAAAACCAAAAGAGAAAAGCCTAAAAAGTGTGTGAAACTCAACCCTTCAGCCAAAAAGAAATCTGAGAAAAACTCCAGAAACTAAGAGAGGGACATTAGCATTCAGAATTTTTAAAAAAACTCTAATAAGGAAAGCATAAATAGAATAAACAATTTCTAAGCCATATAGGTACTTCATTTGTATTTCCTTTCTCTGTTACTTACATACATAAATCAGTCTTCTATCAGTGACTAATTGATTAAATCATCTTATAATTTTGAATTATTTCAACAGAAATAATAAGCACTGTTTTTCTTGAACATTTCTTGAACATTCTTGAACATTGTTTTTCTTTTATTTTGAAAAAAATACTTCTTTTCTCCAAAAATACTTCTTTAAAAAAATGTCAGGCTTACCTTTGCCATAATTAAGAGTCAACAATGATCACTCCAAGGATGTATCTTGACAGACCTGTTCACCCAGTTAATTGCCCGTGCATTATATGTTTAAGGGACAGCTTTTAACCATGCAGCTGACTGAACCATGTTTAATGGAATTTATATTTTCACTTTAGAAACTTCTCAGAATTAAAATCCCCCCAAGCCAAATTTCTATTTCATTCTTTCCTTCAACATTGCAGGTGCTTCTAAAAGGTAGCCTTCCAGAAAGCAAAAAGGAAGGTAAAGGAAGAACATGTTATTTTTTTAAGGCTGTGTGCTATAGAAATCAGATAAATGTTTTATA